CTTTTATATTTTGCGATGATTTCTTTAATTCTATGGTGTTTCTCACTTTTACCAAAGGGCTGGCACTACCATCTTCTTTGGGCCCATGGTGGCTTACTTGGCAGTTGCAAGCACAAAAAAGAATGGAATATTACGAAATGTATCTTATGAACACGTGGGGTGATGGTCACTCGCCGAGAAACAATGCCACACTGACTATGAATGGTGCGTGGGGGCACCTCTGCGTGTGTGCAGACACTAGAAGGCCGCTCGGACGTGTTCCGTACAACCGATGAATGGCGAGGCAAATCATGAAACGTGAGGCTATATTTTGACGAAAAAAGTTGCCGAAAGTCGAAGTTTACGAAGTGCAGGGCTTGCAAAACTCAGGAGTCCACTGCAGTTGCTTATATCTCACCCTAACTTCCCCCTCCCTTAGTTTATAAACTTTCACCTCTCTCACTTACTGTTGCAGTTTTCCCCTGCCATCCCAAATTTACCTACTACTCCTCTACACATTTTTACCCACTATAGCATTGAGATCCCCAACGACAAGTACTCTCACTTGGTTTAAAACTCCCCACTTATAACTCTTGAAAACACAATCAGCAAACCCATCTACATGTCTCAATTGTCCACTAACCGCATACTGAGGTTGCAATCCATCACAGCTGCAGGTTTTACAATGGGTTCATTGGTCTCTATTCTGCTTCCCAGTGTCTACCATTTTGTGTCTGAACTGATATCAACATTGTGATATCACATTTGTCATGCCACCGAAATGCCATGATGTCACTGGCAGCAAACACCCGAACTTCACCTCTACGAGTGCCAGCGTCGAACCTAGGCATATGCTTACGATTTCCACGCACTGTGCCACACACATCTGTCATGTTCACTTGCAAGAGTAAAAGGACTCGTGTACCAGGTGTCAGTATATAAATTATGCCCCTTACCAAGATATGGTTCCATCATTGTTCTAACCACATCCCCAGAGATACCCAGTAACTTCCTGGTATCTTGCAATGTTTTACTGTCAGTGTACACAATTATATCAGAAACTAGACCACTTATGCAATCACACAGTACAAATAACTTTTTACCAAAGCGTTTCCTCTTGCTTGGTTTATACTGCTTGAATGAGTTCCTTTGAACAAATCAAAGACTCATCAATAACAAGCTTCCTGAAGGGATAAAAATACATACAGAACTTTTGTTTCAGGTACATAAACACATTTCTGATCTTGTATAGCCTGTCACTTCTGTCAGGCCTTGTTTTGTCTGAAAAGTGTAGGACACATCAATTCACTGGTATAATGTCACTGAAAGCTGTGCTTGAAATCAGGCAGTCTGTCGACCAATATGTGTTGACACTGCTTCTACAAATGTGGCATAAGCATTATTGTGGCAAAGAACAGATACATCTCTGCCACAGTTGTGTCCTTCCACTGGTGTAGGCATGATCTTGGTGAAAGAATTGCGTTTGCCATGGTGTACTCGTAGTACGTATTGCTTTCCCTGACAATGTCCATCAGGTGTTCATCGAAGAACAACTCAAAGCATTCCAGTTCAGTGGCATTGTTCCCAAGTGTACATGATGACCGTATTCCACTGTGTTTCATCAAAGTCATGGGGACTGGGAACAAACTCGTCACCTTGCTGCCAATCCCAGATGCGGTCAGCTGGTGGGTTCTGGATATTGAAATGTGGTTGTGGTTGTGCAGGTTGGGTTGTGGATGTTGTGGGAGTGTGGAGTTGGGCGAGGCTGGTTGTGGTTGTGCAGAGTCAGCAGCGTCGGTAGTAGCGTGGCCCACTGCTGGTGCCACATGACTCATGCCACCAACACTATCACCACCACCACCTGCTGCCGCACTCGCATCAATCATACCCATCGTAACAATATCGTCATCTTCACTATCAGTTCGTGGTGAAGGGCCACGGGATGTGCTCCAAGATTTACTCCTTTCCCTTGGAGCAACATATGACACACCACCAGACCACATGCTACGTTGTATATACTGCCGCTTCACTGGGGAATATTCACCCTCACTGTTGCAACTAGAACTGCTTTCAATAGCTTTGAAATCACTATCACTTTCACTGCTCACATCCGAGTCTTGTACATGGGCAAATAGTTTCCTCTATCGTTCTGGTACAGGTGAACACGAACGAGCCAGCCCAGCACCAAAGGTGGAAGGTCGTGGGTCATCCGAGTTTTCATCACTAATTACGTTATCCTGGACACTGTTTTCGGTCACACCCGCTTGAAAACCATGGAATTCACTTTCACTGACACTTCCATCGCTGTTAGAGCTATCACTTGGAAACAAAAAACCTCCAATCCGCCAAGGAATGAGGTACATCTTACCGCGAGGCATGGTGAAAATGGACTAGCAAGATGGCATTCCCACAATGCACCACTGAGTCCCAGTTTTTTTCACAGGGTGAACACCCACCACTCAGACCCATTCTCTCTCATGTAGGCCTACCAGCCCTCTCCCGCTTGATTTGAAGCCACTAGAATTTATGCGTATAGATACATCAAACACTGTGGCTCATAAGACGTATATATACAACTGAAACAGTCAAGGGGTTAAGATAAAGTCAAAGAAAACTCAGATGAGCGTGTATACATACACAGGTCCTACTACACATACATGTACACAAGAGTAAGTGAAGTAGTAAGATGTATCTGAAATCTTGAATGTTTATAAGACAGAAAAAAGACACCAGCTATCCTACCATCATGTAAAACATACTGTACGTACAGTGGTACCCAGAGTTTCAGCCACCTCCAAACTCGAACAATTATGCATCTTTTGGGGTATGAAATGGACTAATTTAATTTACATTATTCCTCATGGGAACAAATTCAGTCAGTAACAGCACTCAAAAGCATTCTGGAACTAATTATGGCTGAAACTCGGGTTTCCACTGTATACGCTTCAGTTGTACAATCACTTGGTAGTACAGTAGTACACTCAGATGCTGTCTACCAACCTACCTACAAAATTAATAAAACACACACACACACACACACACACACACACACACACACACACACACACACACACACACACACACACACACTGTGTATGTTAGGCCCATACTGGAGTATGCAGCACCAGTCTGGAACCCACACCTGGTCAAGCACGTCAAGAAGTTAGAGAAAGTACAAAGGTTTGCAACAAGGCTAGTCCCAGAGCTCAGGAGAATGTCGTACGAGGAAAGGTTGAGGGAAATTGGACTGACGACACTGGAGGACAGAAGGGTCAGGGGAGACATGATAACGACATACAAGATACTGCGGGGAATAGATAAGGTGGACAGAGATAGGATGTTCCAGAGAGGGGACACAGGAACAAGGGGTCACAACTGGAAGCTGAAGACTCAGACGAGTCACAGGGACGTTAGGAAGTATTTCTTCAGTCAGAGTCGACAGGAAGTGGAATAGCCTAGCAAGTGAAGTAGTGGAGGCAGGAACCATACATAGTTTTAAGAAGAGGTATGATAAAGCTCAGGAAGCAGAGAGAGAGAGAGAGAGAGAGAGAGAGAGAGAGAGAGAGAGAGAGAGAGAGAGGGGACCTAGTAGCAATCAGTGAAGAGGCGGGGCCAGGAGCTGAGTCTCGACCCCTGCAACCACAATTAGGCGAGTACAATTAGGCGAGTATACACACACACACACACACACACACACAGTTACTGGTCATGGGCGACTTCAACCACAGGGAGATCGATTGGGAAAACCTGGAGCCACCTTGGGGGTCCTGAAACATGGAGAGCCAAGATGATCGATGTAGTACTGGAAAACCTCGTGCATCAACATGTTAAGGACACTACCAGAGAGAGAGGGGAAGATGAACCAGCAAGACTGGACTGTGTTCACCCTGAGTAGCTCAGACATCGAGGACATCACATATGAATGGCTCCTTGGAGCTAGCGACCATGTGGTTCTGAGCATGTATACACCATCTCTGATTATCAAACTATTTTGAATATTTAAAAAAAAATTAAATACAAAGGAGCAAATCAAATCAAAGTTTATTCTCTATAAGGATTACAATGCGGGGTTTACAGATTTTGGTTATTGTGTGGTTTACATGTAATAAAATACTAATTACAGATGGGGGCCACTAGAACCCCTAGCAAGGCTAGGCATTTCGGGCAAACTTAGATTAATTCTTAACCCTAAATTATTACAAATTGTGGAGTAAGTTGACTAAATACTAGTTTGTGAGTTTAGCAATGTGAATGCTTTTGTTTTGGCACAATACATAGTTTCTATATTGGAGTATCACAGGCAAACTCGTGACTAGTTAGGCACTACTTAGTGTCTGGATTACACTGAAATTACACTATGAAACTACGAGCAAGAAGGAAGGCGAAATTTAATGGTATATGTTCAGCACTGGAGGGTTCATAAGCTTTAAAAATGTGCAACTGTTTCTGCACAACCTTCCATGTCAATGAACAACTATGTCTATAAGCAAAACTGATCATTTTTGCCTGGTACAAAATTAAAACAGTCTGGCAATTTGGAAGAAGTGGTGTCTGGAGTGTAATCCTAATTTTCCTTTTAAATTCATTTCGCCTAATGCTATTTTACATGAAGCAGAGATTTTTAGGTTTCCTGTAAATAAATTCCTTTTCAAGAACACTAAATTGAGAGATTGAAATGTTAACATTTATACTTACAGAAAAGTTTCATAGTTTTGCAAACTAGTTAGCAAGTTACACTCATAAGATGTAAGCACCTGGTTAAGCCAGGTTCATACCCATGGATTAACAACCATAATACAAGTAGCTAGGAGAGGAATTTTAATTAAAATGGAAATGTTGCAGGAGGCACTGCTGACTGGCACACACCTCATTCATTTTACAAAAGATGGACCAGCTAAAAGAAACTTGTATAATGTATAGAAACACAGAATGCAACAGATAAAGATTATCAGAGAATAGTTAAACACACTGATGGAGAAGCAAGAAAAGTCCCACTAATCTTGGCATAAAATACATCATACCTAGGAAATCAATGGAGCTCTGATGGTTGGCAACCACAATAGCAGGACGATCAACGACAATGTGCTCCAGGCCGCGCACCTCCCAGTGTAAACCCAGCAAAGGGTTCAACAGACGGAGTGGAAATGTTGCTATCCTGTAAATTTTCCAAGAAACAAAATTTAAATATAGAATTTAAATATAGAGTACAGCCTCTCCTAACTTAGTGACGTACTTGTTTACTGACACCTTGGTCTTATGATTGATCTCTGGCCAGTATGCATACCTATATAATGTATATTAGAGTTGATTTCCTCTACTCTGTTTATTAGAATATATACAACACACTACTGCATAAACATTTAAAAATACACCAGTAGTGTTATAAATGGTGCAAAGGTGATGTTAAAACAATATCAAAGACTAGGTGACACAAACCCACTACCATTATAGTATGCTCCTCACTTAGCAATGAATTCATTTACTGGCATGGTCGTAGGAACAGAACTCCATCGTTAAGTGAGGAGAGGCTGTACTGTATTAATAAAAATACCACACTAATTTTGTACAGTACAGTACTGAGTTTTATTTGCTCAATTTCTACTATCCTTGATGGAGAGAGAACATTTAATACTATAGCGTTTAACATCAACATTCATGTTAAAAGAAGGGATCTACCATTATGCTCATTCTCTACTATAATTATTATAAGCAGCAGCAGACAAATCTACATAGCATGTACACTTTCTTAGATCTCAAGAAAAAATATTTTGAAAGATGAAGTCAAAGTCTGTGGCTCACAAGACTGAGGAATAATAAGACAGTATAGTCAATGCTAAAAGGCTGAATGATAAGAGGAATGTACATATGAATTTCCATGTCCTATGTTGCCAGCCTAGACTTAACTTTTTTTTTTTTTTTTTACCCAAAAAATGCAGTCCATGTTAAAAACCTCATTTTATTAGTGATATAAAAAAATTAGCTAGGAAAAGCAAACATAAGTTATAAAAACAGGTACCACATGGCTGTATATTATTAGTACTGTATTATTAGATTGTCGCAACAACCTGTCACAGCTTGCCGACATGGCCAGTGGTCTGGAAGGTGTGTGAGAGCACTGCAGTCATGGCAGTTTGGTAAATTAAAGACCTTTGCATTAAGAGAACCAAGTATACTTGCAAAGAAGTTTTAATGAGAATGGAACCAGGGGCACAAGTAAAAAAGTGCTTCACATTACCTGGATATCACCGAGAGGAAGGGCTGTCGGCCAGCCAAACACGAATGGGCTGTAATCCAGAATGATTATGGTGATTGACTTAACTAATTGTTGAGCAGTTACATTTTATTCTACAGTATCTCATTCTTGTTATTACTCTTGGTGTTCAAGAGCTACACGTGAAGGGGCAGTATGAATCCTCTAACTAGCTACACAGCCATTATACAGTGGAACCTTAGCTTACAAACGCCCCACCATGCAAACTTTTCAGGATAAGAACCGTCATTCAGTCGCGTTTTTTGCTTCTGGATACAAATGAAATTTCAGAATGCGTACTCCCCCCTCAAGGAAGGTTCCTTAAATAAATAAATAAATAATTTATTTCTTTGCAAAGGTTACAATGTGTGTTTACATTACTCATGCTAATACAGTGGACCCTCGACATTCGATACTAATCCGTTCCTGAGAGCTATTGAATGTCGAAAATATTTAAAGTTGAATTAATTTTCCCCATAAGAAATAATGGAAATCAAATTAATCCTTGCAAGACACCCAAAAGTATGAAAAAAAAAAATTTACCACATGAAATATTAAGTTTATTGCATTACAATAACAATAGAATAATTGGCACTTACCTTTAATGAAGATCTGGTGATGATTGATGGGATGGGAGGAGGGGAGTGTGTGGATGGTGTTAGTGTTTAGAAGGGGAATCCCCTTCCATTAGGACTTGAACTGGCAGCCTCACCATGCCTTACCACACTGAGTATGTCACTACGATTCTTAAATCTTTCAAATCAACCTTTGCTGGCCTTAAATTCACTCGCATCACCACTAGTTGCAGGCAATTTCTTTACCAAATCATGCACTCCGACACACGCACTCCACTTTCGTACTTTGCAATTATCTTTCTTCATTTCAATAGTCATTAGCACCCCAAGAAGCTTTCTTGGGGCCCATGGTTACTTATTTTGCAGAAACAAGCACCAAAAACAGATGCGCGCACACTGGCTGGCTTGTAAACACTGGCACACACGGGGCAGTTCAGGCCACACGTGGACAAGTCTCGTACGAATCTCATCAAATGTCGGATTTTCCATCAAATGTAGAGGCAAAATTTTTGCGTTAAAATGCATCGAATGTCGGATTTATCGAATGTCGATGCCATCGAATGTCGGGGGTCCACTGTATTTCAAGTTTTACAAGACCATTAAAAAAAAATTTGCAAATATACAAAATTTAGATTCACCATGAATTATAAACAATGCTCTTTACCAGTACAGTGGACCCTCTGTTATCGGTCATTCTGGATATTGGCCAATTTGGATTTTGGCTGCTTTTTGGCTGAAATTCTATCCTGGACTTTGGCTGTCAACTTGGAAATCAGCCATATTGGACGTGTCCACTCCGCCACGTTTGTCAGTCAGGTCAGGTTTTTTTTTTTTTACACAAGGTTAAGGATCCCTAGCTTTATTGACAAGCTATTTACAGGTTAAGGATTCCTAACTTTATTGACAAGCTAAGAGCTGTTACCTACATCAGCCCATTTGAAAGCATTTTTATTATTATGAAACATACAAGTAGGGAACAGGGTGAGGTTGGAGCCATCTGTGGGCCAGCATTTTCATTTGATCAACTGACTATCTCATTGACATCATAATGCTGTACGAATGTGTTCCATACTCAAGTCATCCTGGGGATAAATAATCTAAGATGAAGTGATGTTCTGGAGAAGGGTACAGCCAGAGTGAAGTTGCTGCTTTCTGCCCATCTTGTAGTATAGAAGCTTGCTTCACGCTGTCCTCGAAGTGGATCCAAGTGTGGTACTTTGACAATATTGGCCTTGTACATAACAGTAAGGCCACCCACATCCCTCCTGTGTTGAAGGCTCTGCTGAAATGACAGATCTATCCAGGACGGGTCCAGGCAACAGACGAGATGTCTTGCTCTATTCTCTACTCTGTCAAGCAGTCGCAGATGAGAGAGGGGGATGGGGGGGGGGCAGGCAAACCAAGAAAGTGGAGTACATTCAAGGAGTGAGCATACTTGTGCCTCGTACAGAATCTTGCAACCCCTACTGTCAAGCAGATGCGAGATACGGCGAAGTGCTGTAAGCTTCCTGGCTGCCTTGTTTTCAAGATTTACAATGTGGTTCTTCATGGTCAGTTTGGAGTCAAATTTCACCCCAAGGATATCAACTTCCCCAGGCCCCTCCACCCTCCCATTCATCCTTACTACTGCGCCGCATTACCATCATTGCGCCTAGAGATCATCATCATTTGTGTTTTCTTAGGTGCAAATATTACTTGCCATCTATTTCCCCAAGCTGATATAGCTCTTAGCTGGTGATTGATGTAGCCTAAAACAGCTGGCATTTCTTCTCTTGGATAAGTGAATGTCAGTGTACAGTCTGCATATGCATGGGATTCTGGGATGAGATGGAAGAGGTCATTGAAGTAGACATTCCATAACAATGGTCCCAGCATGCTTCTTTGTGGAACACTTGCCCCAATAGGATGTCTTGTTGATTCTGTTCCATTGGGAACTACCCTTAGAGTTCCACCATGAAGGTAATCACTGAGGTGACACAGCATTAAGCCTGCAATTCCCAGAGCTTGCAGTTTTGCTAAGAGGCCCTGGTGGCACACTCGGTCGAGAGCACCAGCAATGTCCAGTGCTACCACACAGCTGACTTTGGATTCATCCAGTGACTGGTGCCACTAAGTGGAGAGGTTTAACAGATCAGCAGCAGAGTAACCTTTCCTGAATCCATATTGACGGTCACAAAGTAGTGAGTGGTAGCCAAAAAACTGTCATTTGTCTTGAGATTATTGTCTTGAGGAGCTTGCCAGTGATTGATAGGTGTGACACTGGTCTGTAGTTGCTGATTTCTGCTCTGCTCTTCTTTTTGTGAACCGGGACTACATTTGCCTCTTTCCACAGAGAAGGCCACTTACACTACTAGGCAGCGCTGAAAGATGCAAGTTAGAGGTGCTGCTAGCTGGTCTGCACATCTTCTCAGCAATCTTTTTGCTCAACTTGTCTGGGCCCACAGCCTTTCTTGGTCAAGCAATTTAAGGAAATGCACCTCCTCCTGCCTTAGTCACCACTGACAGTTTTGACACAGTTCTTGCAGCTAGCCAAGGAGGGTCCCTTGCTGGATCAGGAACTTGCATTTTGGTAGCAAAGTGTTCAGCAAAGAGGTCCGCTTTCTCTTGACTACTAGTAGAGGTGGTCCCATCCTGTCGATTTAGAGGTGGAATGAGTTCGTCAGGCAGATAACCTTGTCTGTCCTTGACCAGGGACCACCAGGTTTTGGAGACTACCCTACCTGATGCTAGCTTTCTTTTTGTGTCCCCCTCCCATTTAGTGATGACCCACTTTTGAACATCACCCATATGCCTACAGGCTTGCTTGTTATAGGTGGTCTCATATACCATCACCATGCTTTGTACTTAGCTGTAGCAGCCTCTCTACAACAAAAGCCAAACCAAGGCTGATCTGTAGGCTTCATCACAATGCCGGTAAGGAATGTGTTCTTGTAGATTAACCCTTTGGCTGTCGCAAGCCCCTTTCTGAAACTCATTCTATGTCGCAAAATTTTTGGAAAAAATTATTTTTTCTTGTGATATGATAAAGAATCTCTTCCCGACAGTAATGACACCAAAAGTATGAAATTTGGTAGAAAACTCACGGAATTACACTCCCGCGAAGTTAGCGGTCTCGGCGACACATACCCATCGGCGATTTCACCGACTGAGCCCTGCTTTTGGCCAATTCCGTTGTTCCAGTTGACCAAACTCATAGCTATTTCTTTAGAACTCCATTTTTTTCTATCAGTTGAGTACAAGAAACTGCCTATTTACCGATTTGAACTACCCAATAAAGTGAACTACCAATAAATGTGGTCAGAAGTTGTGCAAGAAAGGTATAAAATACCG